CGGTGTGAACGCACCATAAGTCCTCACTTGGCTTCTCAGGTGGATCTATTAAAGCCAGCATCTCAGCTCTACAGACTTTGAATTTAAAAAGCCTCCTGGATGGGAAGCAAAACGTCTTCAACTTTAGAATTGGAAGTCCAGTTGTTTTTTGTTTTTAACCCTTTTTTGGTTGTCTTTTGTTTCTGAAACAATTGGCTAATACAAGTTTGTGAACCATGGCTTGCTATTACTGGATGAGCTGAAGGTTTTTGTTGGAACACACAGATCTTCACAAAAACGAATGTAGGATGTGACAGTAGTCATATCATCCAGGTTGTTCGTAGTGGCTTCAAAAACACTCCAGTGGAATCAAAGTCTTCTCTGGTCCACTTTTTCACTCTTCTCACTACAGGATTTACAGTTTTCAGTTTCTGCCTGTAGGTTGGAATAAGATGAACAGATGAACCAGACAGTGGTCAGAGGGACCCAGGGCTGCATGAGGAACAGAGCGATAGGCATCTTTCATTGTGTTGTTATCCCTGGTGGGACAATTAACGTTTGTATTTTGGAAGCTTGTGGCCAAGTTTAGCTCTGTTAAAGTCACCGTATGATGAAGAGTGAATCTGGGTGTTTTAGTTCCAGTGCAGTTATTTGTTAGGTCAGGTTTTTGCAGTGCATCGATCATACTGGCTTGAGGTGGAATATTGGGAATATTGAGTTTAAAACCCTTTTAAAAACAATGAACAAAGCTCCTGGAAACCATAAACCCACAGGTGGACGTTACCTGTGCAAAGATTCATGCTGCTACAATAAACTGGAGCAAAGTTACAGAGGTTTTAGTAAAGAAATAACTGAGTTTTATCGAACAGGATGAACCATCAACAAATGTTAAGACTTGTTTCTGAATGATTTTTTTAAATTACTTATTAGGGATGTCCCGATCAGATACTCAGTATCAGTATCGGTGGCAGATATGGCCATTTTTTGAAAATCGGGTAGAATCGGATTTAGTCATGTGATCGGGCCAATCCAGTTTTTGCGACAGTTTTCAGCATCATCATGCTTTACAACTGCCGTTAAGAAGTCAAGATGCASACAAATATGCAACCATGTCCACAGAGTGAGAACACTTTTCAATGGAAAACAATGATGCTGAAACAAAACCTGCAAACTGGATGTTTCTCGTGGTGGAAACAGCAGGGCTCGCTTTAATACTACCAACCTTGTCACTTGGAAATAAATAAAGAAATAAAGCTATCGGATCGGTATCGGAAAGACTAATCATTATAAATCGGATTGTATCGGGAGCCAAAAAATCTGGATCGGGACATCCCTATTACTTACACCTCTAGTATTTTCATCCTGTTCTTATAAAACAGAGAGAAATTATGTTCAGCTGGACCGTATTTACTTAAAATCAAGTTTAAAATTTTTAAACATGTATGGGAATTTGCTTTGACTTGCATTTCTAAATAAAAAAAGGCAAAATGGATCAAAAGACATTTACAGATTTGCATCGAGGCCATTTTGAACAACAGAAGCTAGAAGAGACAGAAAACAGGAAGTGCTGCCAAACGTTAAAAACTTTCGCACCCCACTGATCGAAGACCGACTCTTTTCTCCGCTCCCATCTGGACTTCAGAGCGTATTTGAGCATTTTATCGCTGGCGTCCACGCTGACCATATTAAAGCCTTCTTCAACCAGCATGATGGAGTCGACTCTGCAAAGAACAAACACAAAAACTCTGAATACTCCAGAAATTAGGTGACTTTTATTAAACGGCTTTGATTTTTATCAAACTGGTTTAGAAGTTAAACGTGTTTAAAGTGTATCTTACCCCCCCTGTGAAAAGATAACTCCGCCCCAAGGCGAAATTTGAAAAATGCATCAAAGTAGGTAGGGGAGGGGGTGTGGGTAGGGGAGGGGGTGTGTGGCCAGGACGAGAGAACGTGACAGCCTCGGCTGAGCTGTCCGCCTCACAGGACAGAGGAGGGGAGCGCTCCGCGACAGCCTGACAGAAAAAATAAAAGCATACAGCTGCAGCTGCTCTCAAGATCACTAGTTTAAATCAGGAATAAAAGTGTTGGGTCTTGTTTGACTGAAGTTCGGTCCGGTTCGGCTGCAGCTGCCCCGCTGCTGCGGTCTTTCTGCCTTTTTTCCCCTCCTCCCCTCCCACTGTGCAGGACGTACTGCTGGTGTGTGTGTGTGTGTGTGTGTGTGTGTGTGTGTGTGTGTGTGTGT